TCAAGAAGTTTAAAATAAAAGGTTGAAAAAAAGAATTAGATAGACAACATATATTGAAAATTGAAAACATATAAATAATAAATGGGCTCAAATGAGGTCAAACTTTTTGGCTAATAAAGTAGTAGGTAATTAATGGTGTTAAATTGTCCAATAATATAACTTTTAAAGGTACAACCATAAAAGAAGAATGTACAACACTATCAAACACATATCATCCAACACTTGTCATGTGCTAAGTAGTAGTTATTCCCACTTATTATATACTAGTTCTACCTTCCCACTGGCAAGGGCTGTATCAGTAATCAGAACTACAAGATGCACCAGGTCTAACGAACCCGCCGTTAGCTACGGAATTCATCAAGGTCTACTCCCATTTATACTTTTCTTATAATCTGTAAAAGCATTTCAAAATCAAATAGAACATTTATATCTTATCAAATCAGAACATTTCAAAGTTTAACAATCACCTGTCAAAATATTATTTCTCAAATAAGTGTAAAACCTTTTCAATATCAATAATCATATCTTGTAAGAATGAGATCATCTCAAATAATCTTTTCAGTATCATGTCCAGTAAAAGACTTGTCCCACATGCAAGTTCAAAACAGTCTGTAACACATTTACTTTATAAACCATGTAAAAATCATGAAATTTGTGAAATACAAATTGTGGTAAGATTACTACTCACAGTACTTGTGTTGAGTTACCAAGCTTGCCACTCGATTACTCCGTACGAATTTCTTTGGTCAATCTATAATCACATTCATAACAATTTCGTGTTAACTCCTTCATTTAGGTAATTCATACTAAATTTTAAAAAACCCAGCCCTAGAGGTTTCATGGCTGATTCGAAATCTGCCCAATCACTTAATTAGTGCTTTAATCACACACATTAGTCTCTTCTTAGTCAATTCTCGCTGTAAAAAGATCAACCTAACCTTACTGCCCAATTACTCTTATTGCATATAAGCCCAATACCAAAGTTTACAGTTCAAATCATTGACTATATTCACTTGGTTCATAAGAATGAAATAAATTTCCTCTTTTTCTTCTAAACCCATGTTTCTCAACTTCCCAATTCCCAATCTTATAGTCATAGAAGATACAAATTCAACCTTTAGACTAAGTTAAGAAACTTACCTTCTTCTCGTTCTTCTTCTTCTTCCACCTCTCTTTAGTTTGAGAACTAAGACTTTCAATTTAAATTTATTTTTCTCCTTCGTTCGTTCGCTCACTCTAGAACAATAAGAGTCCCTTTTTTTTCTTTTGATCGCTGAAGTTGTAGCGTTGCTGCTGCTTCTGTTAGGGCTTTCAGCCCTTTTTTTAAAAAAAAAATTGATCCCCTTTTTTTTAAAATGAGAGGTAAATGACAAATATGCCCTTATTTTAATATAGGGTATTACACAAACATAACCAACAACATGTCTACTCTTCAATTGAATATCAACCTTTTTTCTTCTTCTTCTACATTATTCTTAGCAAGTAATGCAAGTCACAGTGACCCAAGAATTGTTCTTTTCAAGATTACTTGCTCCGCCACCCAGATAATTTTAACAATGTCATTTATCATGTGATGTAATCTTCTAAAAAATAAATAAAATCGATCTTGCAAATTGGTATTTTCTAAATCAGTAAATCTTCAAGTTCAGATGTAATGGTGAAGGAGTTGGAGGAAGGTGAAAAGAATGGGTGTACATACGTTGTGGTTCTATATTTATGAATTGAAGAGGGAAATAACTTATTTTTGGGCATTGACATGGAGAAGAAATTTCAAGCTTCATAGCTAGATCTAGTTGACTTTGCAATTCTATATTTATGAGTGAGGAAAATAACTTTGAACCTTGAATCTAATAGCGAAATTTTTTAGAGAAGACTAGAAATTCAAAATGTTCAAGATTTGAAATGGAAGTTACCATTGAAGTTTTGAAATGAAAGACAATGGTTCCCAAGCTTCAAGCTTTTTAAATGGCAGAAGAAAGGAAGAAGATGGAAGATTTGTGGGAGAAAAAAAGCTTAGAAATGCAAACATGTACTTTCTTTGACGCTATTTAAGGCATAATAAGACTACCCACATATAACATTTTTGAAATATTTTATGTTGTCAATTATCATGATTTATAGTATTTTTACGATAGATTCACTTCAAGAATCAGTGGAATTTTTTGTATTTTTTTCAAAATATATTTTATATTGTCAATTATCATGATTTATAGTATTTTTACGCAATTTTTAAATATAAAAAATAAGACAAATAAATTAAAATGGACCCAATATATGTTATTTTTGTTGTCTCAATTTATATGACAAATGAAATTTGGAGAGTCATCCAAATTTTCATATTTTTTAAAAGAATGTTTTAAATTATTAATTATTGTGATTTATAATATTTTTATGTAACTTTCAAATAACGTACATTACTAGTCACTTTGTCCTAATTTATGTGATATGGATAAAATTACAAAATTAACCCTTTTAAAATGTCTTTCAGATATTTTAAGTTGTTAATTATTATTATTTATAATACTTTTTTGGTAATTTTAAAATGATATGTGTTATTTTTTCTGTCCCAATATATGTGAGCCTGATAGAATTCTGAGAGTCAACGTATTTTATTATATAGCTTTTAAATATTTTAAATTGGTAATTATTGTAATTTTTAATGCTTTTTAAGTCATTTGTAAATGATATCTGTTGCTTCCTTGATTGGGACTTTCCATTTGTGACACATATATATAGATATTTGGTGCCCGTGCCAGCACGGGCCCAATAAATTATTTTTTTTTTGTTTTAATTTATGTGATATAAATGGAATTTGAAGATCAATCGATTTTTTATATGTTTTCTTAAAAATATATTTGAAGTTATTAAATTGTTGTGATTTATAGTATTTTTGCGTTAGTTTTGAATAATATAGGTTACTCATGTTTCAATTCACGTGAATAATCATAAATATTTTCAGTTGTTAATTTATTGTGAATTGTAGAAATTTTGACGTTATTTTCAAATAGTACATGTTACTTATTCTATTCCAATTAGTCAACCAAATTTCTTATATGATTTTAAAATATTTTTAATTGCTAATTATTGTGATTTATAGCATCTTTTATGTAACTTTTAATAATATATAATTTGTTCAAATTCATATGACAATGATAAGATTTCAAGAGTCAACACAATAAAATTTTAAATTTTTTAAAAAGTTGTACCTATAATATATTTTGTAGCTAAAATATACTCTGTCCGTCCACTTGTATTTGTCATGTTGCGTTTTGAAAGTCCATTTGACTAATTTTCAAAGTTAAATCAGATTGTATTAATTCGATATTTAAAAAAAATATATTTAAATATGCAAAATCTATACAAAAAGTACTATAAATTGTAATTTTTTGCCTATGAATATGATGAAAAAACACATTGTAAAACATTAGTTAAAATTCTTATAGTTTGACTCTAAAAAGGAAATCATAACAATTAAAAGTGCATAGAGAGAGTAATAAGTAGGTAATTAAATTTCAAGAAGTTTAAAATAAAAGATTGAAAAAAAGAATTAGATAGACAACATATATTGAAAATTGAAAACATATAAATAATAAATGGGCCCAAATGAGGTCAAACTTTTTGGCTAATAAAGTAGTAGGTAATTAATGGTGTTAAATTGTTCAATAATATAAATTTTAAAGGTACAGCCATAAAAGAAGAATGCACAACACTATCAAATACATATCATCCAACACTTGTCATGTGCTAAGTAATAGTTATTCCCACTTAGTATATATACGAATAGTAATATAAATTCTGAACCCTTGAACAAGAAATAAAGTGTAGTGCAATGGTAAGTGCCTTTCAAATTGACCACTTTGTTCAGGGTTTGAGCGTCATTGTGATCATTTTGTTTTTAGCTTCTTTTTTTTTTCATTTAATTTCGGGAACAATCACTAGCCTAGCTCAATCTTTCACTATTAATTACTCCCTCCGTCCACCTTTAATTGTCGAGCAACTTTCACATATAACAAACACAAAAATTATATTTGTATGTTATAGTTATAGTTTGCATAATTGTATTCCATAACAAATTTTATGTTTGCTACAATTCGCTAGATACATCCAATTTTATACAAATTGTTCAGTTTTGTATAAATTCATTTATACATTGTAATTTGTATAATTAGATCTGTATTTGTATAATTATAAGTGTATAGGACAAAAATATATGTATTTGTATTTGTATATACACTTTTCTCTCGCTTTATACAAACACAAACGCATTTTATATATTTGTATACCGAATGAGTAATTGTATACCAAAAATGACTAATTGTATACCGAACCAGATGGCAAAAAAATGGGATGTTTGCTGCGAATTACAAATAAAATAAACTATGACTATAACATTTAATTTGAATTAATAGTTTGCTATTTCATACAATTTTCCCTTAATTGTTATGTTGCGTTTTTCGAAACTCAATTTGACTAATTCTCAAAGTTAAATTAGATTACATTAATTCGATATTTTAAAGAAAAAAATTAGATATTCAAAAAATATACGAAAAGTATTATACATTATAATTTTTTGCATATCAACATGAAAAATATATCATAAAATGTTAGTCAATATTTTTATAGTTTGAATATAAAAAAAGAAATCATGACAAATAAAAGTGAATGGAGGGAATATTTATCTATATATATTTTAAAAAAAGTATTGAAATGATAGATTTAATCCCAAAAATATCAAACACCCTAAGTAAAATTCCTGAATTTGCCACTAATTACAATTTTCCTCAAGCTCAAAAAATAGAGTTTGGACAGAAGCTAATATATTCATCAGTAACACTTTTAAAAGGATCAAAACTACTCTAACTATATATTTAGGGGACTACTCTTTACCTACCCCTAACATATTGGACCGTTTTGTTATTTTCTTTTTATCACCAAACTTTTCCCGAACTGATCGAATATTTTGGAACAGAAGGTGTTCGACAAAATGCCTGAACGGAACTGCAATTTGGCTTATCAATGGCGATGCTTTCATCTCATACAAGACGCACTGTTCTCTCAATCCCATTAACAAAACACCCATTATCCACAATTTCTGCTTCTACTTCTTCTCCACCACAATCGGAAGATGAAACTTTAGTCTCAGCCGCCACAACAATCCTCAAACACCATCGCTCAAAATCACGATGGTCCGAGATTCTTTCTCTAGCTCCTCCAACTTCCGGCTTCACTCCTTCCCAAGTCTCTAAAATCATTCTTCAACTCCGCAACACACCTCACCTCGCTCTCCGTTTCTTCAATTTCACAGTCCACCGCTCCATATGCTGCCACTCTGTTTCTTCATATGCCACCATCATTCACATCCTCTCCCGTTCTCGCCTCAAATCCCAAGCCCTAGAGTTAATCAAATGCGCTATTCGTAAATTTCCTGACACCCATAAACCTGATTTGTTAAACCCACCTCGGATTTTCGAAATCTTGGTTAAAACTTACAGAAGTTGTGATTCAGCTCCTTTTGTGTTTGATTTGTTGATAAAAGCTTATTTGGATTCTAAGAAAATTGATGTTTCTGTTCAACTGGTCAGAATTTTGGCTTCCAAGAATATTTTTCCACATATTGTTATATGTAATTCTTTGATTGAGTTGATTGCGAAAAGTCGAGGTCCTTTTGCTGCTTATGATATGTATGTGGAAATCTTTAGGTGTGAAAAGGGGGAAGGGAGTGGTAGGGAGGTAAAGGGTGTGATGGCAAATGCTTATACTTTTAACGTTCTTATGGTTGCTTTACATAGAGAAGGAGTAGTGGAGAAGGTTGAGGAGGTTTGGAAGGAAATGATAGCAAAGAATTATTCTCCGAATGTGTATAGTTATAGCATTTTAATGGCTGCGTATTGTGAAGATGGAAAGATGGAGAATGCCATGAAAGTTTGGAAGGAGATGGGTGACAAGGATGTGAAGCATGATATTGTAGCTTATAATACCATAATTGAGGGGTTTTGCAAAGTCGGAAAGGTTGAGAGAGCTGAGGAGGTTTTCCGGGAGATGGTCTTCAATGGGGTAGAATGTACTTGTGTTACTCTTGAACATCTCATAAATGGACATTGTATGAGCGGGAATATTGATGCAGCTCTAGTTTTGTATAAGGATATGTGTCGAAAGGGCTTCAAGCCAGAGAGTTCAACAATAGATGTAGTGGCTAAGGTGCTCTGTGACAAAAGTGGAGTTTTTGATGCCTTGGAATTCGCGAGAGCTGTAATAAAGAAACACGATATTGTACCAAGGAAGACAACGTATGAACTTCTGATACAGAGCTTGTGTAAGGAGGGGTGGATGGAAGAAGCTCTGAAACTTCAGGTAGAGATGGTGGTGAAAGGATATGCACCAAATTTTGAAATATATAGTGCTTTCATTGATGGGTACATCAAGCAAGGGGATGAAGAAAAGGCTGAAACTTTGAGGAATGAAATGCTTAGGAATAAGATACCATGTAAAGACAGCTAGAAGTTTGTATGCCATGCAGAGTTTTGACCAAATTTTAAATCGTGACTTCTGGCTATGAGGTTAAGAAAAGACAAGGCGACTTTGCCAAAGTGCAAGTCTGTCAGTAAATAAAGGCAAGGTACTCTCTGGAGGGCGTCTTCATGATTTGGAGGAAATGAACACTACATTTTTGCTGAAACACTTCAATACCATACTGTATGGGATCTTATGATGATTTTTGCTACCCTTCTGAGGATGGTACTTCTCTTAAGGACATAGATAAAAAGTTTATGAATATGAGCACTGCCTAACTTCTTGAGGAGGTCCCCCTACAGGTCAAGCTCTTCAGACAATTCATCTTAGACTCTTTCCTGCAGTATTCCAGCATAATTGTTCTTTTATCACTTTCGTCGAATTTCAGATTAAAGTTACAACCTACAATGTGCTTTAGGTTTCACCACTTCAATTAAACTGAGGCTTTATTACCTGTTGTCCTCTTCCCAATTTGTGGAAAAGCTTAGAAAGTAACCTGCTTTTCTCAGGACCGGTTAGATACTTGGATACCATCATCTAAGTTGGATAGCCTAATATGTGTAATCTGACATCTATACTTATTTCATGGAAGTATCAATGCTACAAATCAGTTACATGAGCTGTCCTAATGTGAAAAATGAGTTTGAAAAACTTCACCTTTGATGATTAAGGGTAGAGAAGTATATCTAAGTACACCACTATTCTCTGAAGGAGGAACTAGAAGTTCGTTTTGTCTTTTATGGGGATGACCAGTACCATGAGAAGATTGACACTCTTAAGTGCAAAGCTTCACGAGCAAAACTTAAGTAAGCTTCAAAATTATCTCATGATTTTTTAGGGTGATTTTTGCTTTTGAAAATGTCAAGTTCAGTATGTCTCAATAACAAATTGTTTTACTGCTCCTTACAATAAGTTCCCCTCCAATACCTTTTGTGCTATTTATTCACAATGTAGATAGTTTTTTGAAAATTTTCAGCTGTTTCCTGAAGCTATACTATGGATATTGGAGAACATTTGATGCTGCTCGACTGAAAAGTAACCGAGAACATGATGAATCCATGGAGAATGCATGATAAGAAGGCCAATTCAGCATATATCTATGAGTAGGTCGAGGGTGATGACCAAAGTACCAAATCAAACGGCTGAATGTTATCAAGAAGCTTCCTGGCAGCTAAAATGAGATTGCGTGAAATGCAACACATCACTCATACGATAAGTCTCATAGTACGAAACTCTTAACTAATTCATACATTATGTAATCTTTCTGTCATCTCAATCTACTCATGAACATTGGCTTTACATAAATAAATTGCTTTATCAGTGATGCTTACTTTGATATATATTACCATTGCTACTGCTTAGTGTAATTAGTGAACGAGCATGTTAAGAACTAAACTAGAGATTACCTTTTCTATACGACATACATATCTATAGCTGAGTTTCCCAGTGTTGATTGTTAGGGGAGTTGTTTAGAAGTGCATTGGGTTTCAGAAGAAAAAACATAACCACAGACGAATTAGTGGCTATGTTTGTACTGGTATCAGTATAGATAGAACAACATTAAATAGCAACTTCTTAATTTCTCCTCCCTCATTCATGGGATCATCTATGCATTCAATAACATGAGAACAAGGTTCACTGGCAGAGATGAATAAGCCATCAAATTATTGATAGAAGTGAGATACTGAAAGAAACTTTCCACAACAAATTTTATCTCACATAATTAGGGTGACAAATTTCAGAATCATAGGGGCATACGAGAATGAAATATAGAGACAGAAATGAATTGGAGCAAGGGGTCAACAGATGCATAGACAACACTGGCTCCTTCCTTCCAAACATTCCTTCCTCTAGAGAGACTGCACAAGGCAAAGACAGATGAATGGCAGTATTAGAAACGTGTATATAAAGAAAGACAAACCTAGTCACCTACTAAATAGAACCACAAAATCCAGTGTCATGGTCAGGCAATAGAGACAATACTAGCTTCTCTTTGCATTTTCTAATAAAGAGCATAAGATTACTTTCACATTCTAGTAGATAACAAGCTCATAAAACCTATGGTCTATGCCTCAATCCTAAGTCCTAACATAATATTACCGTATGGAAAACTTCCAAGAATGAAGGACATTAATAACACTAGAAGGAAGCGCCCAAGCATGGGTCAACGGCAAAGCCGCCAAGGTAGTACAATAGAAGATGTGTAGTAGGCGCACATTGTGAGTTCAAATCTAGTCCTAGAATCGAATCTAGTATTTCAGTACAAAATGGTACAGTTGTTGGCTTTTATTCATCGAGTTTTAAGGCTAGACACATCTAATTTCAACAACACCATACCTATTGTAATCCAATAAGTGAAGTTTGAGGAGGGTAGGATCTACTCAGACCTTACTCAAAAGAAAAGTTTTTGAAGCAGGAGCCAAAAAATATGATAACAAAGAGCAAGATACAAAACAAATGAAGCAACAAATAAGTACTACACACTGAAGAATGGGAGAATATGCGACTACTAAATAATATTCCCTCTGTTCCAATTTATGTGGCACTTTTCGAATTTCAAGATTCAAACAAGTCTATCTTTGACTGTAAATTTTTTATATATATTTTAATTATTTTGAATTGCCAATTATTGTGACTTATAGTACTTTTTACGTAGTTTACAAATATATAAATTTTATTTCAAAAAAATTGAAGATTTCATGCGTAAATTTCCGGTCAAACATAAACTGTTTGACTCTCAAAAATGAAAAGTGCCACATAAATTGGGATAGAGGGAGTACTACTAGTACTGGGAAGAAAAAGTAGGAGGGGCTCACCCCCTACTCTCCCACATAAAGTGGGACAATACTCGGTTTCCTACTATCACTCAACCCTAATCCTCCAATACTATACCTGCCTATCTAGGGTCAGATCCTCGGTAAGTTAAAGTTGTGCCACTTGTCTAATCACCTCCCCCCCCCCCCCCCCCCCCAAACCCCAATTCATTTTTAGCCTACCTCTACCTCTCTGAATTCCGGCCAAAACCAATCTCTCACACCTCCTTATTGGCGCCTCCACACACCTCCTTTTCACATGACAGAACTATCTCAACCTTGCTTCCGTCATCTTGTCCTCCACGAGGGCCACTCTCACCTTACCTCGTATAACTTTGTTCCTAATGATATCTCTCCTAGTAATGCTCACACATCTATTTGAGCACCCTCATTTTCGCTACTTTTATCTTCTGAACGTGTGCATTCTTGACTAGCCAAGACTTTGCCCATAGAAGTACAACCAATGTTGGTCTAATCTGACCACCACTTTGTAGAACTTACTTTAAGCCTCGACAACACATACTTATCACATAGTACCCCAAAAGGGAGCTTCCATTTCACCTACCCCGCTCCAGTCCAATCCGATGTGCCCCATACAACAAGCACAAATCCTATGTCCCTTACCATATTACAGCTAAACACATAAACATAAGCAATTATAAAGATTATCAAGTTGACCCAATATGAAATTCCAAGTCTCTGTAGAACTGCGAAGAGTGAACTGAACAAGTTTGTAATCGTTCTATTGCAAGATCAAGGCACACTCGCAAATGTATCTAATTTCCGAATTCAGACATGATTATTTTAAAAGCACATCGTAGAATTGCAATGGAAATTAATTTATTAGCTTTCAGACTATTGATTTGCTTAAACGAGAAAAAAATTACCCGATTAGGAATCTAGAGCTCGAGCACAGGTTCTTCTTTTTTATCAGAAAAATAGTGAAGGATATAAGGGGTGATCCGAATTACGGCAACCCAAACTCCAAAGAGGGCCACATGAGTCCCCAGCTTCTTCAGAGCATCTGCTTTTTCAGGTTTACCCAACTTTGGAGGCATCGTTTCGTCGTTGCGGATTTCTCTTCTCACTGCTTAAACCCTAGCCTTGATTACTTCACCATTAATCAAACTTGTTTTTCAAATATATGGACTACTAGGCCGGGTTTGGCAAAAATACGGCCCGTTTAGTTTACAGTATCTTCCAGAATGTCGAAAATGATATTCAGTTAGGGGTGTCAAAATGAGCCCAAATATAAGTAATCTGCCCAGAATTTTATGGTCTGGACTCGAGATAATTTAATTAGGTTTAATCTCAACCCATTCAAGCCTTAACCATTTTAAAAGAACTTTCAATTGGGCCCAATTTAATATGCAATTGCAACCCCTTTTAAGACTCTTTATTTCCATTGATGTAATGTATGATCCTATATTCAATGTATGAATTACTATCTATTTTATATCGTCCTTGAACCTATGTTTTTAAATATCGTCCAGTGCACTGGATTCTCTTTGGTAAGATGAATTGCTAGCTTCCGATCAAGGAATTGGCTGCTCCAGCATCTAATTACTAGTAGATAGATGCAGATTTGCTATAATACATGCACATTTCTTGTCATGTTGTTATGAAAAATGTGCTACTTTGTTATAATTTCATATCCTTTTTGCCATCTTCTTCTTTCCCTTTTTTCATACTTCCCTTTTTAGGAGTGCCTGTAAGGTTATCAAATTGTTTTAAGATATCAAGAAAACATTTGACATTGTCACTAAATATGCTAAGAATAAAACAAGGAAAAGAAGTAGATTAACCATTTTACTTTACGTGATATCCTGAAGAGAGATTACCTGTTGTCGAGGGAAGTGATTTATCTGTATGAAGTCACCGTTGAATTGATGCAACGATGTATTTTTCTATACAAATATCTTATCGCCCAAGCAAAGTCTTTTGGGAATGCTGCTAAATTGCTCACCCAACATGAATCAACTAGCCAGTAGTCTTTTAGACGCCGTGTAAAACTTGAACTGGATTTATGAGGGCATGGAAGGGATCGGATTGGTACACAAGTCGATATTCTTGCATCCATCTTATTCTTTCATGATTTTTAGGGTGATTTTCGCTTTTGAAAATGTCAAATTCAGTACGTCTCAATAACAAATTGTTTTGCTGGTCCTTACAATAAATTCCCCTACAATAACTTTTGTGCTAATTATTCACAATGGAGATGGTTTTTTGAAAATTTTCAGCTGTTTCCTGAAGCTATACTATGGATATTGGAGAACATTTGATGTTGCTCGACAGAAAAGTAACCAAGAATGTGATGAACCCATGTAGTCCATGATAACAAGGCCAATCCAGCATATATCCATGAGTAGGTCTAGGGTGATGGCCCAAGTACCAAATCAACCGCCTGAATATTATCAAGAAGCTTCCTGGCAGCCAAAATGAGATCGCGTGAAATGCAACTCATCACTCATACGATGAGTCTCATGGTACGTAACTCTTAACTAATTCAGACATTATGTAATTATTCTGTCATCACCCTCGACCTACTCATGAACATTGGCTTTACATAAATAAATTGCTTTATCAGTGATACTTACTCTGATGTATATTACCATTGCTACTGTTAAATGTAATTAGTGAACGAGCATGTTAAGAACTAAACTAGAGATTACCTTTTCTATGCGACATACATATCTATAGCTGAGTTTCCCAGTGTTGATTGTTAGGGGAGTTGTTTAGAAGTGCATTGGGTTTCAGAAGAAAAAACATAACCACAGACAAATTAGTGGCTATGTTTGTTCTGGCATCAGTATAGATAGAACAACATTAAATAGCAGCTTCTTAATTTCTCCTCCCTCATTTATGGGATCATCTATGCATTCAGTAACATGAGAACAAGGTTTACTGGCAGAGATGTGAAAGCCATCAAATTCACACATAACTTAGGTGTCTACAGAACTGAAAAGCTTGTAGACTTTCCACAACAAATTTTATCTCACATAATTAGGGTGACAAATTTCAGAACCATAGGGGCAAACGAAAATGAAATATAGAGACAGAAATGAATTAGAGCAAGGGGTCAACAGATGCATAGACAACACTGGGCTCCTTCCTTCCAAACATTCCTTCCTCTACAGAAACTGCACAAGGCAAAGACAGATGAATCGCAATATTAGAAACATGTGTATAAAGGAAGACAAATCTTAAGTTGTATTAACATAAAAAAGGCCAAGATTTAACACTTATTACTTACCTTAGATTTTACCATCACATTCGTGCTTCATCACAAATATACAAATAATTTGCAAGGAGAATGTTTGTTCATCCTAGCCACTCAAACTCAAAAGCACTCTTACCTATCAACTACTTCTCACTAGGCTAAAGTTCGCAAATTTTTGAACACTCTAGAGCCGAAGAGAATTCAAAATGCCTTGCAGCCACTTACACTCTGTTTGGATCATTGTTATCCATTGTTTCATAATGTGTTGTATTGTATTGTACTGTATTGTATTGTATGGTAGATACAATGTTTGGTTAGATTGTATTGTTTGTTGTTGTTTAATAACATTTTTATTGTTTGGTTTGATTGTATCATACTGTTGTAATTTATAAATTTACTAAAATGTCCTTAATTATTCCAGGTTAGGAGGTTTGATTCGGATTAAATAATATAGGTAAAGGGTAAAATAGTATTATGAAATATTAATTAAGTATATAATTAGAAAAGAAATTAAGTAACAATGAGAACACACCAAATCGGTTGTTCCATAAAATGGAGGTTTTCATTGTTACGTAACAATGAAATTTAACAATACAATACAATACATTTTAAGTAACAATCAAAATAAACATTGAATGTATGGTAACAATAAAATACAATACAATGGGTAACAATGATCCAAACAGAGTGTTAAGGGGATGCCAACACATAAGATACTATAACAAGAAAACCAGGATAAGCTAGACCTTTATTGACACAATACTACAACACTAGTAACAACAATAGCTATGGTCTATGCCTCAATCCCAAGTCCTAACACAATATTGCAGTATGGAATTTTTCTAAGAATGAAGGACATTGATTACACTAGAAGGAAGTGCCCAAGCTTGGGTCAATGGCAAAGCCGCCAAGGTAGTACAACAAGAAGATGTGTAGTAGGCGCACATCGTGAGTTTGAATCTATCCGTGGAATCAAATCTAGTAGTTCAGTACAAAATGGTACAATTGTTGGCTTTTATTCATCGAGTTTCAAGGCTAGACACATCTCATTTCAAAAACACCATACCTCTATTGTAATCCCATAAGTGAAGTCTGAGAGGGTAGGATCTACGTAGACCTTACTCAAAAGAAAAGTTTTTGAAGCAGGGGCCAAAAAATATGATAGCAAATAGCAAGATACAAAACAAATGAAACAACAGATAAATACTACACACTAAAAAATGAGAAATATATATCTACTAAATAATACTACTAGAACTGAGAAGAGAAAAGTAGGAGGGGCTCACCCCTTACTCTCTCGCATAAAGTGGGACAATACTTGGTTTTCTACTATCACTCAACCCTAATCTTCCATCACCGTACCTACCTATCTAGGGTCTTGGTAAATCGAACTTGTGTCACTTGTCTAATCACCTCCACCCCCCCCCCCCCCCCCCCGGGGTTCATTTTTAGCCTACCTCTACCTCTCCAAACTCCTGCCAAAATCAATCTCTCACACCTCCTCATTGGCGCCTTTACACACCTCCTTTTTCACATGACAAAACCATATCGGCCTTGCTTCCATCATCTTGTCCTCCACGAGGGCCACTCTCATCTTACCTTGTATAACTTTGTTAATAATGATCTCTCCTAGTATGCGCACACATCTATTTGAGCACCCTCAATTTCGCTACTTTTATCTTATGAAGGTGTGCATTCTTGACTGGCCAAGACTTTGCCTCATACAAGTACAACTAATGTTGGTCTAATCTGACCACCACTCTGTAGAGCTTACTTTAAGCCTCGAAAACACATACTTATCACTTAGTACCCCAAAAGTGAGCTCCCATTTCACCTACCCCGCTCCAGTCCAATCCGATGTGCCCCATACAACAAGCACAAATCCTATGTCCCATACCATATTATAGCTAAACACAAAAACATAATCAATTAAAAATATTATCAAGTTGACCCAATAAGAAATTCCAAGTCTCTGTATAATTGCAGAGAGCGAATTGAACAAGTTTGTAATCGTTCTATTCCAAGATCAAGGTACACTAGCAAATTTATCTAATTTTCCAATTCAGACATGATTATTTTAAAAGCACATCATGGAATTGCAATGGAAATTAATTTATTAGCTTTCATATTATTAATTTGCTTAAACGGAAAAATAATTACCCGATTAGGAATCTAGAGCTCGAGCACGGGTTCTTCTTTCTGATCAGAAAAATAGTGAAGGATATAAGGGGTGATCCGAATTAAGGCAACCCAAACTCCAAAGAGGGCCACATGAGTCCCTAGCTTCTTCAGAGCATCTGCTTTTTCAGGTTTACCCAACTTTGGAGGCATCTTTTCGTCTTTGCGGATTTCTCTTCTCACAACTTAAACCCTAACTTAGCCTTGATTACTTCACCATCAATCAAACTTCTTGTTCAAATATATGGACTACTAGACCGGGTTTGGCATAAATCCTGCCCATTTAGTTTACAGTATCTTCCAAAATGCTGAAAATGATATTCAGTTAGGGGTGTCAAAATGAGCCCAAATATAGGTAATCCGTCCCGAATTTTATGGGCTGGGCTCAAGATAATTTGAATTGGGTTAAATCTCAACTCATTGAAGCCTTAACCCATTTTAAAAGAACCTTCAATTGAGCCCCATTTAATATGCAATTTCAACTGGTTTTAAGACTCTTTATTTCCATTGATGTAATGTCTGAATTATAATCTATTTATATCTTCTAAGATTTATCTATCCATTTATAACTTTCTTTAAAAAAAATCTTAAGTTGAAATTCAAATTGTGGTTATAAAAGTTAAATAACAATATGTTTAAGTTATTGAGATTAAGCAGGTCAAATTGTACTGGTCATAACCCAACATGATTTTTAGCCCATT